ATAAAACAAAATGAGCAGAGAATCTTAAGTGACTTCTCCCAGTGTTGAAAAAAACCAAAACCACCAAAACCAAAAACCAACAAAACCACAGAACAAAACAAAAAAACCCCAAAAGAACAAAACAGTCCCTCAAGTTGAGGCCTTAAAGTTTTACAATAAAATTGTTTAATCCCCCCTAACAAAAAGTTTTAAACATGACTATGATAAATTTAACTGAGCATAAATTTATCCTGTGATGCCAAAAAACGGTAGTCATGCCATTCATTACATACTTGGTTTTGCCGTCTTCCTTGCACCATCATTTGTGTTCATGCAGCTGTGCATTAATTGCATTAATTGGATCAAGAAGCTGATCCTGCTGCAAACTTTTCTTCTTGACAGGTTAGCTTTTGCTAGCAGTGTGGATTTATGACACATTAAATTGAAAGTGGAACTATGGCGTTAGTGTTTTACCTTCACACAAAAAGTTGCACTGTTTAAACATATTTTAAAAAATGTTTAAAGAATTCAGGTCTTTGGATGAGTACTCTTTACATTTGTTTCTCTCATGGGATTTGCACTGATTTTGCTTAAATCTGTTAAGACTGATTCAGTCAAAATCAGAAAAGCAGATGGAAAAATTGCAGGTTTTTGAGAAAGCTTCGACTACATTGAAAATCAGTGGTTTAACCAGTGCAACCGTACATTCACTACGTATTATTCAATGGAAGCCTGAAAACCAAAGCTATTCACTACAAAACTTGAAATCCTAATTCTGAAAGAAGATGCAGAAACTCTACCAGAAAAAGACGAGGTTACCACAAGTCACCGGCTGATCAAGATCCACAGAGGACTACCTGGAACTAAAAAATCATACAAACGCCTTCCTCTCTTATCTTCTACAGGAAGCTAGCAGCAGAAGAAAGTGAAGGAAAACAAAGCAATCTCATAATCTGTTAATACTGGTTTTATCCAGAAAGAGAAAATAGGTATATTTTATCAGTTGTATCGTTTATTAATCTGTGTATAAGACACTTACAATTTTTAGAAGTGTAGAGATTTACTATTTATTGCAAAAAGGTTCACTGCAGATTTGTAACAAGATAGTAAGGCACTGATTTGGCAGGCTTAAGGATTATGCTGAGATTATTTTTCACAACTGATAAATTTATGAATTAATCACAGTAGGAAATTATAAAGTAACTAAAGAGTCTAGTCATTAACTTTGTTTCACGTTTTAAGTACATAAATTTGTTGCTTCTTGGTGAGAAATTAAGACTAAAGAAAAGCTTTCCCTAATGACTAGACTGATCTATTCTTCCATGTTTGTTTGGCCATCTCTCTAAATCAGCAGAAGAGGCATTCTTAAATTTAAACTTAGTTCAGTTTCAAAACCTGACCGCACCTTTGGAACTCTGACACTTAAACATCCAAAGATATTTGGCTAAAGCAGGAGGGAGATTGCAAAGTTTCTTAAATTTTAGAATGGAATCATCACCTTTTGAACGGCTGTGTTGGTAACATGGAGAACCTAAATTAAAAAAGAGCCCCAACCTGAAAAGGATGGTGAAAGACAGGAAAGAGGCACAATGATACATTCCAGTTCCCCTTCATGCTAAGTTTTAAAATACAAATAGAAGCTTCAGTTAGGAGTTTTAAAAAAATCAAAGAAAGAAAATAAAACAATTTAATTCAGATACTGAGATTTAAGCTACAACTGTAATATGAGCATACAAAATGCTATACTTAATAAGTATATAGAAGCATAGTTTATTTTTTCCATAAAAATGAGAAATTGTATAATAATATTGCTTTAGCTAAGACAAAGGCAGAATTCAATCCCCCCCCCTTTTTCTAACTTAAGAAAATCTACTGATACTAATAACAAAACCCAGGCGTAGCATGAAATGACCCCCCCCCAAAAAAAAAAAAAACAACCAAAACCCAACAACCCAACCCCAAAACAGAAAAGAAAATCACACTAATTAGTGTTCACATTAAAAATTATCTACATATTTCAGCAATACCCAAACCTGGCAAAGGAATTTAGGTACAGTTACTTCACAGCTTTGCTGAGATATATAAGATAGGATCAATGCCATAAAGTAACAGGAGGTGTCACTGATTCTGTGCTATAAAAAAAGAAATGCATGGATTGATGCAATACGGAGACCGATAATCAGGGTAAAACACCTGGCTATTTGAGAATAAATACTGGGAGACGCTTGACAGGAGCCACATCACAATTTAACTGAAACTCCTGTTAGAAACTTTGACCAACTTGATTTGATGCAATTGATCTATGCAATGCATCCGCCTTATAGTTTTCTTTGGAAAGCTAGGGTTCAATATGAGCCACAGTTAAGAAATACAGGTTTTCGTTCCGGCATTTAATGTGTTTCTACATCTCAGATGTTTGAACGTGTGCAATCACCGTTAGCTTTAGCAAAAGGAAGTGGAAATTTCGAAAATACCATGAGGCATATGACATAAAGAATGGGAGAAATTTCAGAGTAGTAAATTATCCATCAATTGAATTAGGCATTTTTCTCAAAGAAAACCTGGAGTTAAATAATCTGAATGAGCTGAAAATATGTTGCTGTCTTCCTGCATGCAAAACAAAAATTTCAGTAATTCAAATTCCTTAAATACTTCAAAATAGACTTGACTGAATATTTCATATTCTAGACTTATTTTATAGATGCAGATTCCATATTATCATTGTATTCACTGAAACTTTAATGTAAAAATTGTATTTTGCCTCATTAGTCAAGTAAGTTTATCCTCATTTTTCTCATATACTTAAACGTGAAGGATGGCTACTTTCTAATTTTCTTTTCTTTTTCTTTTTTTTTTTAAACCATAATCCGCAATAAATTTACTGTCAGAAGAGACATCTAGAGGTTAACTAGAGCCCGAGGTTTTGCCCATGCTGAGATTTTAGCTAATAAAGCTATGCTAATACAGCCCCTTAGCATGGAATACCTGACTTGATAATATAATTTATGCAGCTGAATCCCACACCCTTGCAAATAACATAACCTCTACCTAGGAAAATAGTACGTAAAACTCAGTGTAGAGAAGGCCTTAATTACAATTTTTCCCATGGTATGGCAACCATAGCATGATTTTGCTATTTTTGCATATTAAGACTCTAATTCACTTTGGATTTTAAAAATTATTCTCATCTTTCAAAGTGACTTAAAAACCACACAAAACTTGCTACTATTATTTTCAGGAAAAAGAAAAATCACCAGAGGAGGAAAGAAGATCATAGGTTATCCCCTCGCCCCCTGTCTACTGTATCTAAATTTGAGATATGAACTTGTCGAGGACACCTTATTCTCCAGATTTCTATGCCATTATCACTATTGAACAGAGATTAAGTTTTCCATATCAGAATATATGCATCAGGGTCACACCACTATTGTAAAAAAATCCCATTTTCTTTGCTGAGTCACATACTTACTAATTAGCCTTCATCATTCCTTATATTTAAAAAGAAACCACATGTGCAAGGACATTCATTGCATTCACGCTTTTTGAAGCTGAACTTCTAATCTAGCCAAGTAACCTGCAACTCCTTCAGAGAAGCGTTGAAAAGAGATAGCTGCTTACATGAAAACAGATCAGAAAGGGAACTAGGATTACAGCCTTGCAGTAGCTAGGAAATCTGTTCTGCATTCACGTGCAGGGATAATACCAAAGGGAGTTCAAAATGATTACTGACTCCCCAATAATAATTATATCACAATAGGATAAATGATCTCATTCTGAAGCAACCAATTTTACATACTCTGGAACTGTATGCTATCCTTCCATATTTTGATGGGTATAATGCTATTTAATTAATTGAACTCCGCAAACAGAAAGAAAAAAAAAAAAAAAAAAAAAAAAAAAAAAAAAAAAAAAATCATGTTAGGAAAGGGAATCAAACATAATCTGTTTTTATTGTATATATAATAAAATCTGTAATCAACCAGTATTTTGGATCCTAGCCAGAGCAATGCTTCCCATGATGCCACATACAGGTTTCTCTTTGAGAGTCACACAATTCACAAGGAAAAAATATTAAAAATCATGAATAAAAATGTGGAGGTCTTTTTCATATAAGATCTGACTACAGTTTTAATTCATTCAGAAGTATTCATTAATCTTAATAAATTTCTTAGAACTACCATAACATATGTTTCCCTGCCATCAAGGATTTATTTGTCAAAAAGGACAACTGGGAATAAAAAGTGCAACTCTATGAGTGCTAAATTTAAATGGGTATTTTCATGGAAATGATAAAATTAATAATAAAATGACTGAAAGCTAAAAGTTTGCTTTCTTTAATGAGCAGTTAAAAGTTCAATGTCTGCAAATGAAGAGTCACTTATGCATATTGTATGCAAGTATTTTTTGTTTACAGATAAATGCTTATTCTTGTTTAAAATATTTTAACTCCTCAACCTACCTTTTGACCTCCTGCAGATTCTGCACTGTGATGCTCTTTTAGTTTTTGTTCCTGTTCCATTATGTCTTTCAAATGTTCATTTACCTAGAGACAAAATAGTTTATTTTGCAGCCTGTTCTAAGAAACAAGTCATAGAAATTATGTTTTCAAAAGGTCTATAAATCACTACCACAAGTTAACAGGAAAGATTAAACAAATATTTCAGACTATAGCCCTGAAGAATAATCAGCAAATGTCAGTTTCAGGTACAGTCTGGGGTCACTAGTTGTTGGCTTCACACTGTAGAAATTAACTTGCTCCTTACTATGCTTGACCACATTTCATTAACAGTGTATCCTTGTTACTTGATTTGATTATGCAGTGAAGGCTGATCACTTCAAGCAAGGTGTGTTGAAATACAAACAGAATACCTTGGGTTTATATCATGATAAATTACACAATAAGACAACAACTCTTAAAAGAGCCAAAAAGAGGCCCTCGAGCATCTGTCATGGCATCTCAACACGACAGTGACTGCTAAGACGTCATACGTAACGTACATTACAGTATTTATTTAGACTTCGCATTTATTTGGTTCACATACCATGTTTAACCTATTTCTGCAAACTTTGCTTTTTAGTGGTTAAACACAGTAGATGAAGGAACAGTCTGTATCAGACACAGTCTTGATATACCTTCGTACATACATATCCTACCCACTCATCTCTAATTGAATCATATAGAATACAAAGACAATCACAGCTTGCTTTTCCAGTACTTATACCTTGTTTATCCAGTACATGACAGCATCCTCAATGTCATAAGGTAGATCTGTAGCTTGGAAGAAGGATGAATACTGCTGAGTGCATGCAATCACTTTTTCAACGCTGACCATCTCTACGGTATATGCCATCATAAGAGTATCGATCATGGCCAAGTGAGCACTCTACAAAGAGAAGCAGCAATACCTAATTAGTTTGCAAATCAAAAGATCCGTTTCTTACGTATTGTTTCTGAACATAGGCACATACATGTTGAGACCAAAACTGTAAATGCTACAAGTTTTCTGTATGGTCGTCAGTTTTTGGATGAAAGAAATGAAGACAGACACAAAGAACAGATTTGAGAACGTAATACAAAGCACAGGGACATTAATTTAAAAAGTGCCTATTGCAAATTAAAATAACTCGTGTAATGAAACTGCACCAAAAATAAAGAACTGGAAATAAAAAGTAGAAGCGATTTTAATGATTCAAACTTTAGATCACTTCTAACAGAGCTAAAGAGATCTTTTAAATTTGTCACTCTAGCGAAAACAAAAACCCTTGCCTGATCAATGTTATTTGTACTGGAAATAAAAGCTGAGCCTGGCTGATAAACAACCTTCATCATCATGAAAATGCTGCATTAATAAGTGGAAGTTTATCTATTTTAAAAGTCATAACCCAGGAAGAAGACACAATTATACTAACCTTAAGTAAAAAACCAACATGATAGAAAATACATATTTTTCTTCTAGTAAACTAATTATCTTATGCAGATCCAACTATATATGCACAACTAGGTTTAAAATAAGCACACTGATAAATAAAATACAGCTTCTGTTGAGAGAGGAGGTATGTTTCTCCTGGTGTTGTTATGTATTGAAAGACAATGGCTGTTTCACAGTTTGTAATAATTTAGAAGACACCTCCCCTAAAAAAAACCCAAAACAACCAAATTCAAGCCAGCAACAAAAAAAGGAGGATGACAACCAGGATTACATTAGATTCTTGTGACTGAATAAGAAAATTATGGCGGTTTGTAGAGGCAGTGCCTACAGCTAAACAGATTTGTTTCTGCTTCATAAGAAGAACAGCAACAGCTTTCTAAGTATTAAGCAACATTTCCCATGAACCACAACAATTTTCAAAGACACTATTTTTTAAAACATTGCCTTTAAACACAGCTTACAATGCAAACAAAGATCCCAAACACTTGTTAACACCATCACTTCAATTCTATAAAAAAATATTTATATAAACATCTCACAAGGTAGCTGTAACAGCCATGGCAACAGCAATGAACAACATGAGTCACACAGCAATATGCTACCTAATCATAGTTAAGGTAGTACATACACATCATTTGTTCCAGAATTCCCAGAAGGAAAAAGATGAACAGATCCAGACTTTGTGCTGCCCTTAGTGTTTGTATCACCAACGGAAGTGATGACGCTGGCCTCAGAAACAGGCAGCGGCACATACTTTTTTGAGGTTTTTTTAAATGTAGTTAGCTTTGTTTGACAAAAAAAAAAGGCAAACTACACTTAGTTTACCTACTAAAGATATTCACAAAACTGTTCCTAACAGCCAGCCTTCCTGGGACAAGCTTATTCTCTTTGGACCCTGGATGTGAACTGAAGCCCCTGTCTGCCACACACTCCATCCATGCTCCTAGCACAAGGCGTGCAGCTAGGCTAGGAACCAGCGCCTCCTCACTCCTGCCACCACTGACTTATTCAGAATAAAATCTCTTCACCATATTAATCTGCCTTGGGAATTTATTTACAGAACCTTAGTGGACAACTACTGATACAAGACTTAGGTGCAAATGAAAGAAAGAGCCGAGGAGCTGAATTCTTGCCACCCAAAGTACTTAAGAAGGAAAAGACAGACAGGATTTCCCATGACCAGCCTCCTGAGGAACCTGCACTCTAGTGCGAAATACGGCAATTCTATCCGTATTTCAATCCTATCTCCTTTGTTGACCCAGCAATGTAGTGGAGAAAAGGAGTTCAGACAGAGTATCATGTTAACTACCAGTAAAATCCAAAAAGCTCGTAACAGATTGCAGAGCCCCAGCCAGTCACACAAATCCATGGAGCCCTGCAGGAGTTTCCCGCTCAGATTGCCAAAGGGTAGTTTAGCAAGTGCAAAACAGGAAGGAAAAAGGGAAGGCTTGGATGGTCTCTGACCATCTCTGACCCCTGACCAGGGGTCATGGCTCTGATGGGCTTTCCTTGCTGTATCTTTGTTGCCTCGTCTGAACGGCGCCTGGGTTAAAACCTTGTGCCATTTCCAGAACCTCCCCAGAAAATGAAACGGAGATATTAAAATAGCAAGAAGATGCTGGATTTGCTTTTAAAGAGAAGGTAGTGCACAAAACACGTTTCCCACCCAGATGTAAGAGTGGCCGTGTATGGAGTGCTACCGCTAGAGGTGCGCTAAGAGTCATCTGTGCTGATCCAGAACCGCTCGGACTGCCTGCTACGCAAGAGGATTGTTTTCATCCCCTGCCTGCAGGGCGGACACAGCCTTCCAGTTGAGGTCTGACAACCAAGGAAGTTCCAAGAGTGTTTGGAAGCAGAATCTTCTTCCCAAACTGTTGATCCACAACTAGCTCACCAGCTACGGGGTGCCAGTGCTCTGAGACCAGCCTGCAAGAAAAGCAGTCACTGGCAACTCTCCCAGATGGAATTAGTAGCCTTCACCTCCCATGCTGGATCATCAATTTCTCTGTAAAACTTGATCTATGAAGTGGATTGCCAACGGAGAGAGAAAGCCACTGAAGTGTTGCTAAAACTGTCTATACGCTCAATACATGATAAATGTATTAAGAAAATTAAATTACTTACAACTAGCTAGCTGAGTCACATTTTCAATGTTTCTAGCAAATTATTAATGAACTGCAAACTACTTAAGCAAACAGAAGGAACAATGAACCTTAGATAATACTCTGTACTACCAAAAGCAAGTGTAATAAACTTTTACTCGCACTGACTGGATCCATGTCACAACTCTTTATTTTATATAAGCTATCAAATAGAGCATCTTCAGAGTCTCAAAAGGGACTCCAAATTATTTTCATTATAATCCAGGCAGGATGCTCAAAAGGACATTTTTAAAAAACAGTAAATAATAAAAAGAGGAATTTGAGTCAGCTTGCATCTATTATCTTGAGAAACAAACTACAAAATTTCTGTTTTCCCAGTTTGCAAAATAGAACTTTATTTTATAAATAATTTCTTCACTAATAAAAATATTTAAAACTACGACCATCTATGGATAAGCACATAAGATAACTTACACCTAAAATAGTTGTTTGTTTGCTTGTTTAAAAAAAAAGAGGCACAGAAAGAAAAACTATTTAATTCCAAATACAGCTCTACTGGTTTTCTTCCACTTACTCTGGAAAGAGTCGGACAATCTGCATTCATTTACATCTTTTAATTGGCTATGCTCAACAAGAAAGACTAAATTAAAAACCGCACTGCAAAAATAGTACCCTACTGTTCCAAACACGGGGTTTATCAGCATAACTGCTGAAGTTCTCTAAAAGAACAATTTTAAAAGGGTTCTACTGATAGTAAATAAAGTTCAATTTTTTCGTGCATCTCTCACTGAACAGCGTATTTTAGGCACAGCTGAAAAAAAAGCAAGAGGGAGAGGTCATTTTTACTAGTCGGATCTGTGATTATGACACAAGGAAGCAACCTTTCATATCTTCAGGGGAAATACAGATACCATTCTGAGCTGGGCAGAAACTAGGATCAGCTGCTCAGCAATGTCTTCTTCCTCTGGACAAGCCTGTAATACAATGCCTGAAGGAACTCCCCAGGAGCTGCTGATGACTGGGTACCAAGATGGCATTCTAAATACTGCTATTTTCTCCAAGATGTCAGCATTCTGACACGCAGCATTTAAAAAAAAAAAAAAGAAAGAAAAAAGGCAGGATTTCATGCTGTCGCATACCTCCCACATCCAGAACTGCAGCAAGGCATATTTGAATAAGGACATATGATTTTGAAAGAAAAAAAAAGTATCATGTTTTAGAGAAATAATAATAATAATAGTAATAATATCAGCTAGATATAAAATTACACAGAGTAAAATACAAAACCACTAGAGAAATATCTTAAAAAAAATAATAATAACCAAGATCAACACCGCAGCTGTTTTATCACAAAACTTTGTTAAGCAGAGATTTGGTTTAAGCCAATTAAAAAAAACCCTTTTCATTCGTTGATCATTTCACTACAACACTGCAAAGTACTAAAGTCTTACATGGCACACTACAAATTAGTAAAAAAACAAAAAACAACTAAATCCTGGAATCTCAGAGGTATTTTATTTTCTAAGACACAAACATGGTTTTGTCTTTCCCAGCTACACCCTGCACAGAACACAAGAGTTTTAACTCAGTAATCTTTATAATCTCATGTAATTACTAGTTAGTTTCTGCCCTGTAATGTAGGTTCCACAGCTTTATTTTCTACTGCTGAATAGTTCAGCAAGAAGCTTACTGAACTGTAGAAGAAAAATTCTTCTGAGCGTGACTGCTAATGCTTTCTCTGTCTGCCTGATCTTTGATTATGGACCTTGCTCCACCTCCACCAGTAGTGGCAAACTACTTCATTAAAAAGTGTACTAAGCAAAAGTTGTATCTGATACTGTGCACACAGATACTTATGGATAAATACTACATATTATAGAGAGCTCTTACACTGTTACCTAACTACTAAGCATATTTCTCATATTCCATTAAACAATATTCAAGTCAGGAGTTCTCCTTTGGCCTGCCCCTTTAGGAAAAGCACCACTTCCCACTATGGTGCTTGAAGAGAGAGACAGAAAGGCAGAAAGAAAACAGAGGATATAATTGTTATCCTCATGCTAAAATAAATAAATTACTCTTTCCTCGAGTCTTTTATTGAAAGAAAAAGTCCCCTGGTCTCACTACGCTTTGGAGAAGAGATTTGATCGTTGACAGGATATGGCTTTTGTAAACAGGAATATGTATTTCTGTTCTTATGGAAGTTGGTCGTGCTTCAAGAATTTTTGGCAAGAATTATGTGAAGGAATTTGGTCATATTTCTTTTTTAAAAAAGTCTTCACACTGTAGTGTACAACCAAACACATATTTCTAGCTATATTCCCTAAAGATTTTGCATACACCGGATCGGGC